TTGATTCCACAGCTCTGAGTCCTTGAGAGAGCCAGGTTCTTTCATACGAGCTTGAAGTTTTTAAAGAGTCCCTGAGATTGATTCCCGCTGTAAGTAGCACTCCCTCGCCCAGTAGGAAAATGGGCAAATTCTTTCCCAAGGAGGGAAGAGGGCTGCTCGTTTTTGCTTCTCATATCAGACAGGCTCTGGAAGAAAAGCCAAAAGGTCTTTATCCTCAAGAGCCATTTGGTTCTAAGAATGAAAGAAAGTCAAGGACAGCAAAGGAGTCCCGGGCATCAGGCTAGGCTGAGTGACACTGCCCAGTTGTGCCCCAGTTCTGGGCTGGGGGTCTCCCGTGTAAAGCAAGGAAGTTCCTTCCATGAAAGTTCCTTGTAGTGCCAGCAGTTGAAATAGCGTGTCTAAGAGCTTGCACTCTGCCACAGACAAGTTCTTCAAGCCTCAGTTTATTCATCTGCAAAATGGGTAATACTCATACCAACCTCGTAAGATTGTTGCGAGTTTTAACGTAGTTATAAAAGTAAAGCAGGTAGGTCGATGCATTCGGTTAGCTCTTCTTACTATCCAGGTAGACCTAGAGCCAGTGTTCTCTCCCTGGGGTGATCGTATGTCTGCCAGGGGACATTTGGCAATGTTTGGAGACACTTGTGGTTGTCACCCTCAGAGAGAGGGTGAGACTGGCCACACAGGTGGCTCATGGCTACCATGTTGGACAGCGCACCGGTAGGGCATTGGATGCACAGGTGTAGGACATTTCCATCATCACAGACGTTCTTTGGGAAGCAAAGACCCAGAGCCTGCAACTGGTAGGAACTAAGCCACGCATTAATGCTTGGGACTGGCCAAGAAAGAGCAGGTTGTTCCGACCCTCTGTCTTAAGCTCCCAAGAATACTGTGCTCTAATAAAAGACTTTTGCAAAAGATAAGACCGTTTACTTACGAGTCAGACTTTACTTGAGCCAAGGGAAGTCCATCTGGATTTGTTTAACTGAGAACAGAGGTTTTGAAGCCCCGGGGATCCTGCAGCTGGGCGTGGGTGGCTCTTGCATTGAAGAAAAGTTTCTGGCCAGCTCCATGTAGCACAGGGTAGCAAAGTCCAGCCTGGAATCGCGTATCTGGTTGGCCTTGGGACAGATTTCGATCTGGAAAACAGTTCTCTTCCTGTGTTAGCTTTTTCTCCTGCCAGATATTAACATTTCTGCCCTGCTTTGACCTCTCACCTGAAATCCATCTGAGAACAAGGATTTGGTCTCAGGCGATATCATATGCCAACCTCCCGATGGTTCATCATATCTTTATCAAGGATGATGTGGTTGTTGAATGATTAAGACTCTCAAATTGGCTTAATAAGTGAGGGGAGAAACTGTCTTATTATTTAAATGTCTAGGGCACAGGTGGATTCAGAAATCAATTTCTCTGCCCCTCTGAGCTCTGCCTTTGACTCTTCATATGTGGTCCCCAGAGGCCTTACGTCCACAGCTTCCCAGAACTGAGATGGTACTTTCACTCCATCAGAAATCCTTGGACTTCCTGTTACTGGGCTAGACAGTGTCATGTGACTGTTCCTGGACCAATCCCCATGGCCAGGGGCAGTGTGATGTTATGAGTACACCCCACTGTGTAGCTGAAGTCAAGACCATTGAAGCACAGGGACTGAGCATGAGAATCTAGGGAGATTCCCCTCAAAACACCTAAACACTGTAACCGGAGATAAGATGAGTGGGTGTTGGGGAGCAGAAATAACAACTATCCACTGTATCTGAGCTGGAATTCAGTTTATTATTCCCCGTTTACTCTCACTCTCCTTTCCACGAGCTCTCAGAGGATTAAACGTCACCATGCAGTGTCAGCCTAGTGACAGCTGTGCCTTCTTACCTGTCTCCGCTCGTCCTCCTTGCTGAGACACTGATGGGGAGGGATGCATACAGGTGGGTCTGGGCTGGTGCAGCAGAGCTCTTGCCTCTTCTATCTGAGAGCATGATTTTGGTTAACAGACAACGTGCCTCAAACTGAATTAAGCAAAAAAGGGAGGGTTGTTTTTGGCTTCTGTTTCTGTACAGTAAGCAGTTCTGGCTTCAGGAATGGCTGCATCCAGGAGCTCACATGGAGTTATCAATCAGTAGTTTATGTCTGGCTCTCTTTCTCTTGGTTCAGTATCCTCTGTGCTCACTGACATCTCAGACGAGTCGTACTGTCCCAAGGTGGCTACAGGCGGCTACAAAACCATCTCTTTACGTGGAGCATTCCAGCAGAAAAGAGCAAGTATCCTTTGTCTAGTCTCACCTGAAAAATTCCTGAGATTCCCTCCAGTTGTACCAGCTTAAGTCACGTGCTCACCCCTGAGCCAACCACTGTGACCGGAGAAATGTGAAGCTCTGATTGGCTTAGATCGTCATCACATGACCCTGCTTTGGAGACTGGAGGCCGAGATTCATCCAAAACTCCGGACTAACGTGAGGGAGGAGAGGATCCCCAAATGCAACTAGGGCTGGGGCCACAGGGAAAAGGACTGGGTGCCTGGAGTGGAGGCTTCTCCCTTCCCACCCCAGGGTCTTGCTCTTTACTACCCACCCTGTCCCTGTCCCCCTGTCCCAGGGCCTTTCTTCCATTTCTTAACTTGGCCCAGGTTAGAGAAGAGCCCTACTCCTGCCCCAGCCAGGAGCAGGTTTCCCTTGGTGACATTAGCCAAAGCAGTGACTTACTCTGATGGAGGCAAAGGATGAGAAGAAGTGGAAGAGCCTGAGATCTCCCAGCCAGACTCTGCCCTGAGCTCCCCCTGGAGGAAAGGGGTCCTGTGATTGGCCAGGGGCGGTCCAAGAGGGAGGGGATGTGTGTATGCGTGTGGCTGAGTCACTTCGCTGCGTGGAAACTAACACCACACTGTAAAGCAACTATAATCCAATAAAAAATAATAAAATAAAATGACAAATTACTCAGCAAAAAGCACTAGGATAATTGACAAGGAAATTGACAAATTGACACCTTAGTGTGTGACTGATTCCAAATCAGAAAAGGAAAATGAAGAGGAGAAAATACCTGACATGTAACGATGTAACAGACTTACTCCAAAACCCAAACTCATTAGCCTTCCAGCTGCATCAGATCCCCTGAGCTCTGAGGGAAGACAGGTGTGGTCATGGCCAGCAGTTCTCATCCTGGGGCTCCAGCGATATCCCTCCCCAAACTCCCGTATTGACCCGCGTAGCTGGATCATTCCCATCCTTGCTGCCTGGTTTCCTCTATAATTAAGCCTTTTCCTCCTCACTCCAGTGTTCAGCTGGGGGGCTGCTGCTTTTGAAATAAGGCTTCCGTCTTGTGGGGACGCTCTTACGAGGCTGGAGTTTCAAAGAGAAGCTGGGAGGCACCTAGTCCCCTCAGCAGGACAGCTCCAGGCCTTGTGTCCTGGGTCCCAGGACGTTAGGATCTCAAGTGACATCTTTAGGGAGAAAGCCAGGCTGATGGTGCAGCGGGTGGTCCAGGGCACAAGCTACTGGAGAGAGCTGTGCACACACAGGAGGGGCAGAGCTGTTTAAGGCTGTCATTCTGGAAGCTTCTACCCCATTCTCCTCTTCAAGACAGAAAAAAATCAAAGCCCCTTGTCTACACACTTCTAGGGGCTAATATGTTCCACTTGCCCAGCCCTCCAGAGATTCCCTCTCTGCCTGGTGTGCGCCGGGCACTGGGCTAACTCCTGTATTTGCGGGTTTTCCAATGTAATTCTCCTGTAAGAGCAAATCTGGGGTGCTTTTCGCTCCCTGCCCGACACACCCCAGCCGACTTCTCTGACCTTGTATCTGCCAACCTTCCTTCTGCTTCTACAGCAGGTCAAAATATGCCTACGTTAGGGTCTTTGCATAGTATAAGAGAGCAGTAAAGGATCAGGGCTTACTGTACCGGACGCTTGAAATTTGCGAAGGGAATAGATTCTAATTTAAATCTTCTCAACACCTACACACAGACAATGGTAACTGTGTCAGGAGATGGAAAAGTTGTTTAGCTGGATTGTGTTGATCTTTCCACAGTAGATACATGTATCAAAACATCAAGTCGTGCATCTTAAATAGATACACTTTGATATGTCAAAGATATCTCAGTAAAGGTGTTTTTAAAATATCAAAGAAAGATTCTTTTTCTTCCAAAAAACTATGTTGCATCTAATTTTCCTTTTAGCAGGATGTGCTGAGGTGACGCAGATGAGGCCCTGATCTCCTACAAGTTATTGGGCATAATTATATGAGACAAACTTTTAAAAAGAGAAGGAGAGAAAGACAGTTTAATAAAATTCTTGTCTATTAGTATCTGGGAATTGCAAGAAGTCACAGAGAGAAAGAAGGCTTGATCACAGACCTCAAGAACTTTCTTTTTAATTCCAAAATGAAAGAACTGAAATAACTTTCCACCAATTAAATTGGTAAAGTTTTTTTAAAAGGGAACGTTTCTGGAGCTAGAGAACTGCTTTCAGATCCAAGTCCAATCCAACTGGCTGTGTGAGCTTGGACAAGTTAGCCAACCTCTCTGGGCCTCAGTTCCCCGCCCCCCGCCCCCGTAAAATGGTTTAGTGAAGACAAAAGGAGTCAGTACCTATGTCCTCTTAGCACGGAGTCTGGCATACAGCAGGTGCTTAATAAATACTAGATAAGGAAGATAAGAACATCTTCCTGGAAATTTCTTCCTCCCAAATATCTCAGGGCCGCCACCTTCCTGATAGTAGGATCTGTCTAGACATCACTTCCCCTGCTTGTTCCCTTATTTTATTTTTCTCATGGCATTTATTGCCCACATTTACCTTATTGTTGACCTGTTAGCATCTATCCCCACACTCCCCAAAATGGAACTTCCTTAACGAAGTCTCCTTATCACTCCCTTCTGCATCTCCGGTGCCTAGAAAAACGCCTGGTGCATAATAGCGATGCAGGAAGTATTTATAGAAAGAAGGAATCCTCGTTTGCTAGATGAGGTATAGTGAGGGGTCAGCCACGACTCAAATGCAAGCCTGGCCACACATGGGGACCCTCCAGTGAGGAAATCCGCTTTCCTCTGGGCCTGACCACCCTGGCGAGGGTCCTGCTGTCCAGTTGACCCTCATGGGCCAGACTCCCGCATCTGACCGGGAGCGTCACCAGCTCCCGGGTGGACCAGAGCCCTGAGCTGAGAACCACTCGGCATCTCCAAGTCCTGGCATTTGCATTTGCATTGTCAGCTGGATAAAGTGTGATTTATCACAGAACAGATTTCTGTTTGGCCATCTGTAAGTGAGAGGCAGGAAGCAAGGAGGAGGAAAGGAGAGACATCATCATCTCAGAAATACTGCTTAGCCCTGCTTTCCCTACCTTTTTCCTTTTCTTCTTTTCCAGAGATGTCCGAAAAGTAGCTGTCAGACACTTTAGTAGTGAAATGGCAGCAGATCTCCTGCAAACGTAAAACTTGCTCTCTGGCAGCTGAGGGGGGAGTGCAAATTGTGGGTGAGATGCTACATAAGCCAGAAGTTCTTTGGGAGAACAGGACACAGAGAAAGGAAAGCGTTCTCCCAGCCCAAAGCTGGGGCCAGGCGGAAGTCACCGCCCCTGGATGAGACGCTCTGACTCGGAGAATTCCCGAAACCGTGGGCCCTTCCTGAACCTGGGAGCAGGGCTCTCCCAGTCCTGCTTTCCTCCCAGCCCTGCCATGTCCTCCCCACTGCCTAAGGAGGAGAGAAAGGAGGTAGGATAAAGGGGGAATGGAGTGGGGAGGACAGGAGAGGGAATATAAGACCTCCTGAAAGGTACAGGCAGCGTCCTCTTCACCCCAGCTCGTAGCAGAATAACTCGGTCAGCTCTGCTGTGTAACAAGTGACCCCAACATTCAGTTGTTGAAGGCAATGATCATGTCCTCTTGCTTATGCGTTTGCGGGTCGTCTGGTGGTCTGTGGGCCTGGCTGGGGTGGACCCCCCCGTCCCTGCAGGTCGGGCTGTGATCTGTCCAGGTGCCTCATTCCAGGGCTGGGCTGAGAGGTCTCCACTACTTTAAGTTCCTCTGGTGGCAGAGTTCACAAGGGCTGGCAGAAATACACAACAGCTCTCGAGTCTGAGCTTGGAGAGAGGTTGGTCGTCACCTTTCTCTGCATTCTCTTGGCCACAGCTAGTCACGTGGCCCAGTTTGCCATCAATAGGAAATAGAGTCATTCTCCCACCATAGAAGAAAAGGGATAAGAATCAAAGCCAACAACTCAATGAGCACCGAACCAGTGGGCACCGTGGTTAAGAGCAGAGCTCTGGGGTCGATGGTGTTTAAGTTCTGACTCACTGACCACCAGCTGTGTGACCTCAGGCCAGTTACATCACCTCTCTGTCTTTTGTTTCCTCATTTGAAATACGGATGTGATTTTTAAAATGTAGCCCTGTCGTATGTTCACGGTGAGGATTCAGTGAATGATTCATGTTACCTCTTAGAATGTTTACCTCTTAGGTAACCATTCACGTGACCTCTTAGAATGGTTCCTGCTTTACTGCAAGCCCTCAGAGAACATTGGTTGCTGTTATAAAACGTGCAGTCACCACTGAGAGTCCATCTCCTCGTGTATGTTCCCACGTGTGAGCGGTGGGTGGGTGAGTGTCAGGTGCAATGTGGGAGGAGCAGCCCTGAGTGTCCCCTGAGGGAGGAAGTGGGGAGCCAGGTACCTGAGCGCCTTTTCCCCGCCAAGGGCACATGCCCTGGTTGCCTTGGCAACACTCTGCTCTGGGGATGTTGAAATGGTTTCTGGCCATTTAATTCTCCATTGAGAGAACCTCCTGTTGTTCGCCAGTAGTTTGCGTGAAGAAATAGTCTGCCAGACAGTCTCCCGGGGCGTGGTCTGCAGCCTGCCCAGCGAGGAGTGCTCAGCTGGGCTCTTGGTGGGCGGAGGGGTCACACTTGGCATACTGCCAGTGGGGACATTGTGCAAAAGTTAAAATTAAGAGAATAGTAGCAAAATAAGTAAATACATTTCGGCAGTTAGCTATCACGGGTGGAGAGATGGGGAAAGATGGGAGAAAGCGGACGGAAGGGGAGGGAGCCTGCTGCGGGGTATGGGCACCTTTGAGGCTGGCTTTCAATACCTCCGAGGACAGCTGCAGCCCACTGTCCCTCCCAGCAGCGCCCCGCAGACTCCCCAGTCTGGTCTATGAGACCAGCAAAGACATCACGGTAGAAAACTCAAATGCTTTCAGGGTTCAGGCTGCTAACAAAATTGAATGCAATGGTTTTCCAATGCTGGTAACTAATTTGCTATTTTAAAAACACCATGCAGGGCAAATGTGACCCACAAGCTCTGATGCATTCATTCATTCATTTTTCAACATATATTTCATGAGCACCTGTTATGTGCCAGGGGCCATTTCAGGCACTAGGGGTTACAAAAGTGAACAAAACAGACAAAAGTCCCCGTCATCCTAGGACTTTATGCTCTGGTGGGGGAAGACAAATAAAAACGAAACTAAACAGGTAAAATGTATCGTGTATGAGATGGCAAAAAGTGATAGAGAAAAATAAAGCAAAGCAGAGGGCCAGGTGTCTTGGAAGAGTTGCAGTTTTACATTAAAATGTCTGAGCAAGGGTCTCTGAGAATTTACAGACAGGCTTTCCCAGCCGCGGCACTGGCGACTGACTATGTGTGGGGCTGTCCTGTAGGATAGTGTGCGGTGTTGAGCAAGCAACCTTTGCCTCTGCCCTTAGATGCCAGTTGCCCATCTTCAAATTGCGACAACCTCCTTCCCTAGTTGTGACAACCAAAAAGATCTCCGAAGATTGCCCAGTGTCCCCTGGAGGACGCAGTGGTCCCAGTGGAGAATCATTAGATTAAAGACCTAAAGGGAACAAGACAGGGATGTCCACTCTCGCCACTTTTTTTTTTATTTTTGCGGTACGCGGGCCTCTCACTGCTGTGGCCTCTCCCATTGCGGAGCACAGGCTCCGGAAGCGCAGGCTCAGCGGCCATGGCTCACGGGCCCAGCCGCTCCCCGGCATGTGGGATCCTCCAGGACCAGGGCACAAACCCGTGTCCCCTGCATCGGCAGGCAGACTCAACCACTGCGCCACCAGGGAAGCCCCACTCTCGCCACTTTCATTCAACATAGTTTTGGAAGTCCTAGGCACAGCAATCAGAGAAGAAAAAGAAATAAAAGGAATCCAGCTCTGCAGCAGAATTTACGCACCGGGGGAGCTGTAGTTGTCACGCTGTACAAGACAGATTTTCCTGAAGCTGCCAGTTCTTTTAGAACTCATCAAATTGAGGCCGCTCCAACCGGCTCTGCAGTTGATGGATTGAAGGCAAATCTAGTCTTTAAGGAGATTGAGAAGAAGCTTGAAGAGGAAGGAGAGCAGTTTGTGAAGAAAATCGGTGATATTTTTGCCTTCAAGGTGAAGGATGGCCCTGGAGGTAAAGAAGCCACCTGGGTGGTGGACGTGAAGAATGGCAAAGGACCGGTGCTCCCTAACTCAGATAAGAAGGCCGACTGCACAATTACAGTGGCTGACTCGGACTTACTGGCTTTGATGACCTGTAAAATGAATCCTCAGTCGTCCTTCTTTAAAGGCAAATTGAAAATCACTGGCAACATGGGTCTAGCTACGAAGTTACAAAATCGTCAGCTTCATCCAGGCGAAGCTAAGCTGTGAAGAACTCCCGTTGCCTACCTTTGAAAATCAAGATGAGACATATAGATATCTATCCATATATTTCATTGTCAGAACTTAGGTTGAAGCTACACATTGGCAAATAGCATGAGATTTTTTTTTTTTTTTTTTTTTTGCGGTATGCGGGCCTCTCACTGCTGTGGCCTCTCCCGTTGCGGAGCACAGGCTCCGGACGCGCAGGCTCAGCGGCCATGGCTCACGGGCCCAGCCGCTCCGCGGCATGTGGGATCTTCCCGGACCGGGGCACGAACCCGTGTCCCCTGCATCGGCAGGCGGACTCTCAACCACTGCGCCACCAGGGAAGCCCAGGCCTATTTATTAAAACAAACATGTTTTTTAAGTGAGTTTCCTTCTTGAAAAAATATCAATGTATTAGAATCATAAAACACTGTTGTTAAAAATAATTGAACAAAGTTTGCTTTGAGATGCACAGTTTTCACATTATAATCTTGTATTAATTAAATTTGTAAAGCTCTCCTTCCTTTGTTATAATTTTCCTTTTTCATATGTTTAGTTTAACTAGCCACATTTAATTTACCTTCCTAGTTTTTTTCTTTAATTCAACTTAAAGGAATATTACTTTTTATTCCTTTTTTTTTAAAGGTAAATTTCATATCAGACTTTGGCATATGATGTGTTTTCCCTACTTTTACCTTCCTAGTTTTTCTAATGCTAATGTTATTTCTAATAACTCGGTAAGATATGGAGTAAAATCATGTTTTTGGAAGAATGTTTAATAGAAAATTAAAATAGCTCTTCCTCAAAAAAAAAAAAAAAGAATCCGAATTAGAAAAGAAGTAAAACTGTCACTGTTTGCAGATGGCATGATACTGTTCATAGAAAACTCTAAAGACACTACCGGAAAACTACTGGAGCTCATCAGTGAATTCAGTGAGGTTGCAGGATACAAAATTAATGCACAGAAATCTGTTGCATTTCTATACACTAACAACAAAGGAACTTATATACAAAACAGAAATAAACCCACAGACATAGAAAACAAACTTATGGTTGCCAAAGGGGAAGGGCAGGGGGGAGAGAGATAAATTAGGAGTTTGGGATGAACAGATATTCACTACTATATGTAAAATAGATAACCAACAAGGACCTACTATACTCAATATTTTGTAATAACCTATAAGGGAAAAGAATCTGTAAAAGAGTGTATGTATGTAACTGAATCACTTTGCCATACCCCTGAAACTACCACAACATTGGAAATCAACTATACTTCAACTAAAAAAAAAAAGCCCTAAAGGAGCTGAGGAGCAAATCATGCAGACGCCTAGGGAGGATGCTTCAGATAGAGAGTAAGCAAGTGCAAAGGCCCTGCGGCAGGAGCGTGTCTGGTGTGTTCAAGGACCAGCCAGGGGCAGAGTGAGTCAAGGCGAGGATGAGTGGGAGACACACCTAGGAGAGACGTCAAGGGCCGCATCAGGGAGGAGCTTGGACTCATTCAAGGGTTTTTCCTGAGTTTAAAAGGGGGCCACAATTCACAAAAATTTTTAAACATGAGTCCCAGATTAAGAAGCTGGGAAATGGGGGACTTCCCTGGCGGTCCAGTGGTTAAGACTCCAAGCTTCCAATGCAGGGGGCGCTGGTTTGATCCTTGGTCGGGGAACTGAGATCCCACACGCCTCGCGGTGTGCCCCCCCCCAAAACAAAAGAAGATGGGAAATGTTAGAGAAGAGGTCTCTGTGTTGGATATGCTGTTTGCCCCTCCAGACCCCTCTGCCCTTCTCCCACCCTGCTCTGGGAGGCTAACCTTTGTAGATTACATCCCAGTCATCCTCAGGGTTCCCACGAGGCTGGAGGCGGGGGGAGGCACCCCCAGGCACTGGAGGGTGGGGAAACTGAGGTGGGTCTGTTTTATTCCTCTGGGCGCCTTGCAGCACGGTTGTGAGTTGACATTGGCTGCATTTTCTGCCAAGGTGGGCAGGCCTCTCGAGCAGGGACAGTGCCCAAGCTGGGCACAGACACCAGCCCTTTAAGGGCCCGCCCTAGGCTGGTATCACCTCATTTTAGCTAATTACATCTGCAGAGACCCTATTTCCAAATCAGGTCCTACTCGAAGGTCCTAGATGAGCATGGATTTTGGAGAATGCTATTCAATGCACTACCCCGACCTCTATCTGTGCTGGGCTTTGCCATCTCTTGCTGGTTTCCTTCAACCCTACCCACACCTTTGTAGAGTCCCTCTGTTAAACTCTCCTAAATTTCAGGTAGCATGTACTATCTGTTCCCTGACGAGATGTGCAATGTTCTGGCCTGTCTGAGTGGGCTGCTTTGGGAATGGGCCAAGAGAGCGAGGGCCAGGGCAACTGGCAGAAAGGACTTGAGCTGGTCCACATCAGAGTCAGCGGCCAGTGGCCTCTCTTGGGGCCCCTTTCCCTGGTCCCCCAGCCCACAGAACTGGAAAAGAACCTAAGACTCACATGGCAGGAAGGGCGATTTCCAAGGCCACAATCTCAGGATATTATCTGTTAAGACAACACGACTGAAACAGTCTGATCAAATCCTGCACTGACTGTCATAAACCGGTTCTGTTCTTCACCCCTCTTCTCCACCTTGGGCAAGCTGCAACCTCAGTGAGCCTCAGTTTTCTCATCTCTAAAATGGGATCCTGATGGCTGTCCAGAGCTCCAGAAAGGACCGAGGGTGAGAATGATGGGGAAAGCACATGACAGGTGTAAAAGCAGGCATCAGGACAGTGTAAGAGTATTTGATAGTTTATGTTAACAGAGCAGGTACACACACTCAGGTGTACAAGAAATGTAAATCGTTTTTCTGTATTTGAACTTAATTTCTATTCTCAACCCCTAGTCTCCAAAGAGGCAAAACCTATTAGAGTTAGATTTCTGAGCATATGAAGTTGGAAATGCTAATTAGAGAGCCAAGTAGAGATGTTGAATAAGCACTTTTTATCTGGAGGTCGGATGTGGGGAGTTATTAGAGATGGTATTTATATTATACAGAGATGGTATTTAAAGCCTCAGAGCTAAGTGATTACAGGAATGAAAGGAGTATATATGGACTGAATGTTTGTGTGACGCCCCCCAAATACCTATGTTGAGATTTTAAACCCCAGTGTGATGGTCGGAGGCAGGGGTTTAGGGAGGTGATTAGGCCACGAGGGCGGAGCTTTCATGAATAAATTAGCGTTTTTATAAGAGGCTCCAGAGGGCTCCCTCACCCCTTCCACCAAGTGAGGACACAGAGAGAAGACAGCCATCTAGGAGCCAGGAATGGGCCCTCACCAGACACAGACTGTGCCGGCGCCTTCGTATTGGACTTCCCAGCCTCTAGACAGTGAGAAATAAATGACCGTGGTTTAAGCCCCCGGCCCCGTCTCTGGGTATTCTGTGATTGCAGCCCCAAAGGGCTAAGACAGGATATTTAAGCTGCCACGGAAACACAGAAGAAGGGGCAATTGCAGTATTTCAAGGAGTGAGTCTCTAATTGTGGTCCCCAGACCTGAAGCATCAGCGTCTCCCAGGAACTTGTTAGAAGTGCAAATATCGCCCCCACACACACACCAGACCTGCTCAACCTGAGACTTCAGGAGTGGGCCCAGCAGCCTGTGGACACTTGACTGCCTCTGATGCTCGTCCAATTTGAGAACCCGCTTGGCCGAGGGCATCAAGACAAAAATCGCATTGGATGTCGATGGCTGGCCAACAGATGCCTTTTGCTTTCTTCATGGAAAGTGGTCCCCAGCTTCTCCCCTAGGAAGCAGGCAACGTCCTCAGGAAGTTGCCAAGGCCTGAGCGACAACAGAAGGTGTCAGCTGACCGTAGGTCGCTCAACTGGAACCTACCCCAGCCCCTCCCAGTCCTTAAAAGCAGACATCAGTGGCTGTTTCCACGGCCACCGTGCGTTCAGAAGGGAGAGTTTGAACGTCAAGTGAGCAAGAGGCCAGCAGGCAGTTTTCTCAGTGGGTAGAAGCTCTCCCACAATGAGAGAGAAAAAAGATTCAGTGTGGTTGGAGAGAGAAAAAAGATTCCCAGAAATGGAGGCAAGGGGCTGGCAAGATTCTCGCAGGGGCCTCGGGTTCCTTTTCTGCAGATGATCAGGCTCGCTTCGTGATACCATGGTTCCCGCTGCTGTAGCCGCTTGGGAAATGATGGATGCATCCTGAGACTTGCCCAGACATTTATGGCATCTTCAGGAGTAACAGTGACAATGGCTCTGTCACGCCCGCCACTTCATACCCTTGGCGTTCCCTTAATGATTTATGCATTCTGGAGCGGCCAGGTTCCTTCCCACCAGAGCTCAGAAAGGTAATAAATGAGGAAAGTCAATGGTCTGTAAATTACAACATTGATTAAAGAAGTGATTACTGATATAACTCTTGCTTGGCTATTATGCTAATGCCTGCCCGGATCCAGGACAGTGTTTACATGCTAATGACAAATCTGGGACAGGGAAGAAAATTGGTTTCCACTCTTAATCAGTACGTACACATTTTTAAACCACTATTGACCGTGAGTGAGAAGATCCATCCATGTGTTCCCCTCCCACCCGCCCCCTGCCACTGTCCCCAGCAGATGGAGGAAATTCGCTCAGCCCGGCCCTCTCCACCTGCCGCTCCAAACAGAAGTGCGAGCTGAAGATGAAAATTGGGCCCAGGGTACCCATCCATAGTTCCTAGAAGCTGGGGAAAGAGAGCGCGATCACAAGAGTTCATTGCTCAGCGTTGGATGTTATTTAACCGGGGCCGTGGACAGCCCTGAAGGAAATGCTGCTCCTTTCAGCGTGTATAACCTGGACGGGAGACACATAAGCAAATTGGCAGTTACAGCTTAGTGTGGTAATGCTGGGTGAAGAGTCCATGTGTGACTTCATTAACTCTGAAATGCTACACAAAACTGTGTGTATATGCATTTCTAGGGCAAGAATTAGCTTTATGTGTACTCTCAAAGGAGTTCATGACTCCTAAAAGGTTAGGAAACACTGCTCTAGAGCTTTCTGGAAGTTTTCAAATTAACTTCTTGTGTTCTTAACTTCTTTCAAATTAACTTCCACTGCTCTTGGCTCCATCTCAGTCTTTCACCATATCTCCTTCACCCCAAGATCTTTGTTTGGTTGTCTTGAAGCAAGTACCCCATGAAGAAAGGGCCATGTTCAGGCATCCATCCAGCTGTCCATCCATCCATCCTTCCATCCATCCATCCATCCATCCATTCAGCCACCCATTCATCCATCTATCCATCCACTCATCCATTTATCCATCCATCCATCCATCTGTCCATCTATTTATCCATCCATCCATCCATTCAGCCACCCATTCATCCATCTATCCATCTACTCATCCATCTATCCATCTACTCATCCATCTATCCATCCATCCACCCACCCATTCATCCATCTATCCATCTATCCATCCACTCATCCATTTATCCATCCATCCATCCACCCATCCATCCATCTGTCCATCCATTTATCCATCCATCCATCTATCTGTCCATCCATTTTTCCATCCATCCATCCATCCATCTGTCCATCCATTTATCCATCCATCCATCCATTCAGCCACCCATTCATCCATCTATCCATTCACTCATCCATCTATCCATTCACTCATCCATCTATCCATCCACTCATCCATTTATCCGTCCATGCATCCATCCATCCGTCCATCCATCCGTCCATCCATTCATGTATCCATCCATTCATCCATTCAGTATCCACTTTGCTGAGCTCCCACTTCATGAGCAGCTGGTATGAGGAACCAAGAGATCAAAGAAGAAAAACATATACTTATTGCCTTCAAGGATTTTACAGTTTTGCAGTTGAAAGTGTGAATTTACACATGGGGCTAGTGTAAATCCCATCCCATAAACTTGACTATGCAAGATGGGTTATGTTTCTCTATAACCCAACTTGATTTCTCTTTTCAGTTTTCAATTCATTATGGCAACGTAACATCATCGGAGGCTAATTTCTAGGAGATTTCACTACTCTCAAGGCCTTGGGGAGGGGGCTTCTAGTCCTCAAGGATTCTGTCCACGGTTCCTAGGGCACACCCATTATCATTCAGAGTCCACACAGGTTACCTCTGATGTGGTCCCACCCCTGTGCATTCTGCTCCTAGCAGCCTCCTCCCAAGGGGCACGGGCATCCTCCAGCTGTTTCTTTGCCACATGACGACATCTGTGGGACTGTAAACAGATGCATCTTCCTGAGGGTTTAGGCATTGGAACACAAAATCTAGATGCTTGAAGACTTATTTTATTTGTCTCTGTGTTTGTTTTCCTTTGTGCTCTGTCTTGTCTCTTTCCTGAGTCCATGATCTTCTAGAAATGGGAACAGTGAAAGGAGGAAATTCAGGGGAAGGAAACATAAGTTGGTCATCACTAATGAGATTCTGCCATTCACTGGATGAACAGTAACAGTACAGATACACAAACAATCCTAGGGCCTCAGGGGAGGTGCTGCAAACAGGGAGGGAAGGGTGTTCCCAGGGAAAGGGAACTACATGTGCGAAGGCCTGAGCGTTCTCCTGATGGGGAGCCATCAGAGCTGCGTGTGATTGGAGCAGAGAGTGTAGGAACTGGAAGAGCCCTGCTAGAGAGAAAGGCGGTACAAGCCCTTCAGACCCTGGGAGGCTGGATGGGGCGAGGCTGGATGGGGCGGGACGTGTGTGTGGCTCATCTTCTGAGCAGACATCGGCCTGGAGAACAGACACCTCTGGTGCCCAAATCACATTCCCCGGGTCCACCCAGAGTTCAGTCCCAGCTGCAGTTCTGTGCAGGTTCAAGTTCACTTAGTGATTGCTGCTTCTCTCAATCTGCTTCTGCTTTCCATCCCAGGGCCTGTGTCTCAGCCTAAAAGTGTGGGGAAGTTAACTCACACAGCAGTCCTCACTCAACGAGAGGAGCTGGTAGATAATATTCCTGCCTCTTATACTGCAGGTGGACAATTCTGTGTGCTTTCCATGAGGCCCAGAAAAATGGAGCCTGATGGTCACAGCAGCAAATGCAAAGATGTACCTTTCTACCAACTATTCTTATTTCTCTGATTCCCTCAGTCTGCTCCCTGGTCCCCCTTCCCTGGGGCCACCTCCCAAGTAAACCAAGCACACTGAATCCTTGTCTCAGGCTCTGCATTGAGGGGAACCTAGATCAAGCATGCGTGCTTTGCTAGAGAAAAGGACAAATGGCAGAAGGGTGGTCTCCAGGGCCCCAGGAACTTCTCCTCCTCCATCCCCTCTCTGTCTTGGCAGGTGTCCGACCGCTGCGACTACATCTTTGTCAATGGCAAAGAGATGAAAGGCAAGGTGGACACGGTGGTGAACTTCACATACCAGCACCTGAGCGCCCCCCTGCACGTCACCGTGTGGGTGCCCCGGCTGCCCCTGCAGATCGACGTCTCTGACACGGAGCTGAGCCAGATTAAAGGCTGGAGGGTCCCCATCGTGGCCACTAAGAGGTAAGCCCGGGACGGGGAGATGCATCAGAGCTGTTGCGGCAACGGCTGTGGATACTGACCTTGACGCTAAAGGAGCCAATGCAGGGCCCAGTGCAGCCTAGGTGATGCTGTTACCATGGTGATGACATGATGCAACGCACACATGCCTACAGCCTAACAACAACCCTCTGGGGAAACCAAGGCCCAGGGTAACCCAGCCAGGCAGGAAGGCTGCTGAGCGGCTGGGTCAGCATGAGATCCAGTCATTTGCAGTCTGCACAGGCTCCTAGTAAACTGTCTCCTGCAAGTGGTCCCTCCAGAGTGAAGCCACAGAAGTAACAAGATTTTCTAGGCCCTCCACCCCCAGGGAATTTAAGTTTGGGTTTCTTTTCTCTAAGCAAAACGGTGAATCCTTTTTCTGTGCTGGATGAATATCTATAAACTTGAAAAGCTCTATGCGTATCAAAATATTGGGTAAAGTCTACTTGAATTTATACTGGACCATGGGGTTGCTGCCTCCTCTTAAACCGAAACAAAAGCCTCTAATGTATGCTGACTCTGGATTGTCTCATGTAGGAGTTTGGGGTCTTGTTTTCTCAGCTCTGTGGCCCTCAGTTTAGCTAAATAAGAGTTGTTGCTGAATTCCGGTTTCCTGGATGGAATCTCCCATCTTAAACCACCAGCACTATTTTCCCGACAGTCTCCCAGGCACCAGGGTCTTGATTTTTAAGGGGCAACTGGAGTCCATCTCAGGATGGATGAATGGAGCAGTGAAATGGTGAATCCATTTCTACAGGGTAAACTTGAAGGCATTTGTCCTGCCGGGGAGGACAGCCATGACTCCAGCCAAGACTTCAGACCCTTTAGTGGTCACGAGTGGCCAAGATACGGGTTCGTTCCCTGTCCCTGAAGAAGGCAGAACTGACACTTGCTGGGTTCAAATCCAAGCTCAGCTACTTTCTTGCTTTGTGAGTTTGGGCCAGCCACCCAATCTCTCTGCCTCAGTTTCCTCATCTGGACATAAGAATAATTAAAGTTTTGCCTCACGGTGTTATGAGATTCGAAGAGTCCATCCGTGCAGAGCTTAGGATAGACACATCTCAAGAGCATCATACCACCCTGCCCAAGAGACCTTTCTACAGTGGTGGAATGTTCTAGACTCACAATGTCCAGCATGGTAGCCGCTAGCACAAGGGGTTATGGAGTGACTGAGAAATTTAGTGTTTTGATTTGCTTAATTTTCTTCATTGAAATTAAGTTGTGAATAGCCATGCATGGTTCTCTGCTACTTTGTGGACAGTGTACGTTTAGTAAATATTAGTTCTTCTATCTTTTATTTGTCAATACATGTCTTCAAAAGAGAGATGGGATTTTTCGTGGGTTGCATATATCGGGAGGGATAGGATGTGGAGAACTCCTTTGGGTCATGCTGTTGAGTGGAGAGAGATGTTCACATTTTCTTCTCAATTAAGTCTTCCCTTCCTCCTTTGGCAAGTACAATAAAGCTTGCTTCTTTGCATTATTAAACAAAAGAGAGAGAGAGAGAGAGAGGCGTTTCACCCTTTGTGCTGCCCGGTGATAGAGCTGGTGCTCCTGTGTGGTCCTGAGGCTCCTGCCCGGGATGCTGTCTCTTGTAGGTTGACAGGGGCACCTGCCTCGTGACTCCAAGCACCTTGCATCCCATCCCCTGACCTGAGAGCCTCTTCTCTTTTCCCGGCAGGCCCACGCGAGACAGCGAGGATGAAGAAGAGGACGGGCGGCGGGGCCGAGGCTGCGCCCTGCAGTACCAGCACGCCACCGTGCGGGTCCTCACTCAGTTTGTGTCTGAGGGCGCCAGCCCCTGGGGCCGGCCAAGCCACCTGCTCAGTCCCGACTGGCAGTTCGACATCACCCACCTGGTTGCAGACTTCATGAAGCTGGAGGAACCCCACGTGGCCACTCTCCAGGACAGCAGGATCCTGGTCGGGAGGGAGGTTGGCATGACAACCATCCAGGTAGGAAGCCGGAGCTGGGAACTTCTGCACGCCCATCACTGAAGGTGGTACCCAGCCCTGGGGGAGGCTCACTAGGTGGGCGGGTCCTCGTGGCCAATTCCTTGTCCTCGTGATGGCATCCTGGGGCCCCCGAAAGGTGAGCCTGGACCAGCTCTCTGAGCCCCAAGCTCCTTCCAGACAGAATTGAGAAGGTGGTGGTCACACCCCTTAGTGCCGCTATGACCCCCTCACTGCTGCATGCTCCATTCCCACCACCCAACCCGCCCCATCCTGACTCTACTCCTCCACCCTCAGTGCCCCCTTTCCAGATGCGCACCTCCTACACCCTCTTAGAACCTTCCCCCATCTCTGTGCTGCTCTTGCCAGCGACCAAAGAAGGATGCGTCCCTCCTTCCTTTCCTCCCTTCTTTCCTTAGGTCAGTCTGTCATTCTGTTGTACAGTCATTCGACAAACTCTTTTCAAAATCCTACTACCTTGGGCTTCCCTGGTGGCGCAGTGGTTGAGAGTCCGCCTGCCAATGCAGGGGACACGGTTCGTGTCCCAGTCCGGGAAGATCCCACATGCCGCGGAGCGGCTTGGCCCCTGCGTGTCCGGAGCTTGTGCTCCACAACGGGAGAGGCCACAACAGGGAGAGGCCTGCGTACCGCAAAAAAAAAAAAAAAAAAAAAAAAAAATCCTACTGCCTCTTTTGCTCAAGGAAATGTATAGAATGGTGGGATTTCAAAACAGATGACAGGGCATGAGTGCCTTTCAGCCAGCCCATCAAGTCCCACCCTACTGACTCCACCTTTTTTGTTTGTTTGTTTTTTAATTTTACTGAAGTATAGTTGATTTACAATGTTGTGTTAGTTTCAGGTATACAGCACAGTGATTCAGTTATACATATGCATATATCCAGTCTTTTTCAGCTTCTTTTCTCACATAGGTTATCACAGAGTATTGAGTAGAGTTCCCTGTGCTGTGCAGTAGGTCCCTGCTGGTTATCTGTCTTACAGACAGTTGTGTGTGTGACTCCACCTTTCTGGAATGTCATTCTGGATCCTTTCACAACCACCCCAGGTAGAAATGATAGATACGTTTCTACCACTTCACCTGAGACATCTCAGGTCCTACACGTGGTTTATGAGATGAGGCAGAAAGTAATATTCCAGCAGAGGACACGTTGTGCTGGGGGCCCGAAGGGAGAGTCAGCAATTTATAATTCAGGCCTCCCGTTGGTTCCGTAATTCACCTGGAATGGGATTTGGGCCGTGCAGGGTCAGCTTGTGTGCGACTCTTCACGGGTCCAGGCAGCAGGATTGTCGTGAACGGTTGACCAGGTTGTGTGGTACGCAAGAGAGCCTCATCCAAACGGGGAGGGTCATTTCCTTTCAAAGACAGAATGGAGGGCTTCCCTGGTGGCGCAGTGGTTAAGAAGCTGCCTGCCGGTGTAGGGGACACGGCTTCGTTCCCTGGTCCGGGAAGATCCCACATGCCGTGAAGCAACTAAGCCCGTGCGCCACAACTACCGAGCCTGCGCTCTAGAGCCCGCGAGCCACAACTACTGAGCCCACGCGCCTAGAGCCTGTGCTCCACAACAAAGGCAGCCCCCGCTCACTGCAACTAGAGAAAGCCCAAACACAGCAACAAAGACCCAATGTAGCCAGAAATAAATAAATTAATTAATTTTTAAAAAGACAGAATGGATTTTAATTTTTATGTCCATTTTCCAAAAGATAGAGCTAAAATGTCTCAGGGGAGGGGTGACTTTATCTGATTCTCACAGAGGCCCAGTTCAGGCTAGTGTATATAGTGAAGTAGATGTGTGGCTCCTTCACACTGTATTCCGGACCTTGTTTAGGATGGAGGGAAAGGTTCCAACATCCAGAAGCAGGTGTGACGGATTTATCTTGTGTCCTGCCCAGGTGCTGTCCCCACTGTCTGACTCCATCCTGGCCGAGAAGACAGTAACCGTGTTAGATGACAAAGTCTCGGTGACAGACTTGGCCATCCAGTTCGTGGCTGGGCTGTCTGTCACCCTTCACCCCAGCACAGAGAACAGCAAGGCCGTCACGGCTGTGGCCACAGCTGAGGAGCTGCTGCGAACCCCCAAACAGGTAGGGGCCTGGATGCCAGAGGTCGAGGGGAGCAAGGCTGGTTGCCACACCTGATTCAGCCAAAGGGGAGGGAGGTGGGAGGAACTGGGACAGGGTGGCCAAACCACATTCCAGGATGGAGTGATTCGGGCTGTGTAAAATGCACGTGGTTACATCATCCATGATGCGGGGTCTGTGATGAACCAGAACAATGGTACCCAGTGCACGGGGATGGATTAGTCATCTGTGCAAAGAACTGTCAGAAGCCTAGCAGCTTAAGACAGCAACCGCTGTCGTTCACGGTTCTGCGGGTCAGGAGTCCAGGTGGGCTCAGCTGGGTGCCACGCTCCTGGGTTCACAGGCTGAGAGCAAAGCCTCTTATCAGGAAGCTCTGGGGAAGAATCTGCTCCTGCGCTCACTGGTGTGGTTGGCAGAATCCAGCTCTGCGCAGCTGAATGCCTGAGGTTTCTGTTTCTTCGCTAGCTGCTGGCTGGGAGCCTCTCTGCTCCCTTCTCTCTGCACCCCCCGCCCCCCACCCCCACCATCATCTTCAGAACCAGTAACGGTGCATTGAGTTCTTCTCGTGCTTTCAACCTCTGACTTTCCCTCTGCCACCAGCCAGAGAAACTCCTCTGCTTCCAAAGGCTCCTGTCACTACACCAGACCCACCCAGCTCAGCCAGGCAGCTCTCCCTAACTTCAGCTGTGCATATAACATCATCATCGGGGGGACAGCTCGTTTTGTTCCCAGGTTCCAAGGACTAGGGTGGACCATTCTAGAAATGCTGCGCGTTGCTACCTGGTATGGTTCCAGAGCATCACCAACAGGGAGCTGGAGTAGGTTCCCATCCTGGTCCAGCTCCCAGTGCTGGAACCTCTGCTCACCTCTCCTGGGGGCAGGAAACTGGCATGGCATTTGCTGGTTTAGAAACAGCGGAGCGAGCAAAGTGGGGAGACAAAGCAGAAAGCATGAAGCTATTTGCTGAGAACTGGTAATTAATCAGGGGATAACTGACATTGCCACCTCCCTGGCATGGGGCAAGGCCACCCACCAGTATCCGGCCTCACCCATCTGTCTTCATTGGCTGATGGTAATTGGAGGGCCCCGGTGCTGCCTAAGGGGATCTGTGGATGGAGTTCATTCAATTTGCAGACATGACTCTTGAAAGAATAGGAGACCTAAATCATGCCTGGACGTGTGTTAGTTTAAGTATTTCAGAATTTCTCATCTTTGGGGAATGGCGTTGGCTTCTCCTGAGACAACCCCTATGTTCCAACCTGGCTGTCATGAGCTAATGGAAGGACTTGGTCTCAATCCCACAGCAGGGATGATGGAGATGGAGGTTGGCAAGCCCACGAGGTTCTGAGGGCTTAATTCGGATTGCCTGCCGTTCATGGGGGCTTGTTTGATGTTCAGTTCATTCTCCGTCTAGAGTTGATGAAGAAAAATGAACTCAAGGCGAAAAGTCAGCCACGATGAACTTGCATGCTGCGTTAACAAGGTTTTATCGCAGCCCTTGGAGTGTGGAAGGCTGGCCCCTTGTTCTTGATATTTCCAACTTTGAAATACAAAATCTGAAAGATGGCTATGCCGTGAATATGAGGCAGTTGCATTATACTCCCCAGTGCCCTACCAGCGCTAAAGAAAGCTAGGCTGGTGAAGTGAAGTGAGGTCTCCCCCGGCGTGAATGCGTTTGACTGAGGCTTTAGAAGGGGGGCCCGTCCGACTGTATGATTTGTAAGTTGATGAAGCTAAAGGAGAGGAGGGCGGTGAGGAAAATTCCTGAACCAGTCGCGTCTTAGCTTTGATCCCCCAAATAGCTGAGCCTGAGATGAGGATCCACCTGCAAGGACTGCATGTGGGCGGTGAAGGGAGCACCAGAAGGGCGTCGGGAAGTGAGGGAAGGAAGGGAAGGCAGCCAGAAGAGTGTGTTCCCAACTCAGCCACCACTGTGGGCTACTGGAGCCTGGGTCTCCTGGGGAAACCGTCAGCCAGTGTCGAAAAGGCTGGAGAGTCATTGTACCCGAGGTCAAGGAAGCTGGGATATGTACCACACCTCCCGTCAGCCCTTAGTGGAGGGCTGCTTCTGGAGGGTGTTAATTTCTCGGCATTTCTGGCTGCGGGCATGACCACATGGGTTCCAGAGGCCAGAATGCCCTCAGGCCAAACCACCTTGCGGGCTTGACAGCTGAAAGTTAAGCAGGCGGGTATTGTAGGAAAGTGGGCAGGTGCCAACAGCACGCACACACCATCTTTAGATTTCGTGAACGTTCTCACTCGCTCCTAACAGGAAGCTGGTGATAGTCTGGGCTTTTCCTTACAAGTGACAGAGGCCTAACTCGGGCTGGTTGAGTCAGACGTCAGAGTTTATCAGTTCATGTCCAAGCATGGGCGTCTTCAGGTAAAGCTAGATCCAGACGCTCCAGTGGTGTCATCAGAAACCTTCCTTTTTATTATTGGCACTTGTCCTCAGTTCTGGAAGATGGCCAGCCCTTATTTCTTTGACTATTGAAGTTCTCCCCTATTCTTGGCTTCTGGAACTCCTAACAGAGAACCATTGGTCATTCTCATTCTCTTTCTCATTCTTTTCAACCTTCCTTTCCTATGTTTCATCTCTTTATACTCCTGTGGGTTACATTCTGGGTAAGTTTCTTGGCTCAGTCTCCCATTACACTAATTCTCTCCTCAACCATGTCTAATCTGCTGTTCAAACTATCCACTGAGTAATTAATTTCAACCAGAGTATTTTTCATGCCTAGAAGTTGTGTGTGGTTCTTTCCACAGCTACCTGTTCTTTTTCCAGTGACTCCCACTCTTTCAGTGTAGTTTCTACTCCTTTTTACTCTATTTTTTTTTGGCTTATTTTTGTTGTTGCTTTGTTTTATTTTATAGTCTTTTTCACTTGTTTTATTATCTCGAATCCTTCATCTGCTGATCTTTCTATGTGAAATTTTTATGGTTTTCTCTCATAGTAGAGCCTTCCCTCCTAGGGATTGTAATTTTTTTTATCATGAGCACCTCTTGAGCTGTAGTTGCTTTGTTTTATATGGTTCCTGAGGAATTCCTGTGCAGTTTTGCGTGTGTATGGGTCCAGTTTCAAGTAAATGTCTTGCAGCTCCTTCACCATCAGGTGTTATAACTTCAGACTCGCCACTCCTGGGGAAGGGGTGAGGTTCTGATTTCCGGGGGAGACATTTTCGCACCCAGTGCTCAGCGCACAGACAAGCATCACTGATGTGCCTCTGGCCCAGTGGGTAGGCTTTCTCACCTGCATATGTGGAGAGGAGTCCTGGCTTTACGTAAAAGGTTTCACCCCAATCTGACACATGCCTAGGTGGGCATCACCATCCCAGCCACTGGCTGGTAGGTCTTCTGAGCAGCTCTGCACGCCCTCAAGCTGTCTCAGTAACAGTTACCTATTTGTACCACTCTAGTATGCCTTCTCTTTTCATTTCTGATTCCTGGGAATTTGCATCTCTTATTTGTATATTTTTACCTAGTTTTCTACTAGTTTATACTTAGCCAGTCTTCTTTGTTGTTGGGACATGCTCTTAAGATTCTCTCTCTCTCTCTCTCTCTCTCTGCATTCCAGCTTGCATCCCAACTCAGTAGTTCCAGGGGAAATAAATTCTGCTCTAATTCCAACAAAAGCCCAGAGGTCATGTCCCATTGGCTGGTTTGGGTCATGTGCCTCTTTCTGAGCCAATCACTGTGAAGAGGGTAGTAAAATGTTCTGATTGGCCAGACCTTGGACATATGCCCACCTCTGGAACTGGAGAGGCCGGTGCCTCCCATCCACACTCCTCAAACTCTGAATGGAGAAAAGGCATGGTTCTGAAAGGAAAATTAGTGTTCTAGCCCCCGTCGGAAAGGAGGAATGGAAACTGGTCAGGCCACATAGATGTGCATCCCAGACCCTATGGTTTAGGTATTCACATTCCCACTTTCATCTGGGGAAACTGAGGCCCAGAAGAATTGGTTTAAAGAAAAATGTTCCCGGGGAAATAGTGCATCCATGTATTTAATTCAAAACTCCCACTTCAAACCCTCTGCCCTTTGCCATGGTGTCCAGAGGCCAGGGTTAGAGGAAACACAGGATCCTTTGCCCGCAACAGACCCCTGGGGTTCCGTTAGCTCTTCCCAACCATGAGATCACTGCCCATTTCCTTCCCCCGCTCTGCACCCTGCTTCACCTTCATAACATCCAGCAGATTGTCTAGCAGGAGCTATCCTGGCCATTTCACAGCCCGGGCCAACCCATCTCCCTCCTAATCTCTAGTCACCTTCCTTTCTCCCTGTACACTGAACTGTACATTAAAAAGTAAAACTTAGGGGGCTTCTCTGGTGGCGCAGTGGTTGAGAGTCCGCCTGCCGATGCAGGGGACGCGGGTTCGTGCCCCGGTCCGGGAAGATCCCACATGCCGCGGAGCGGCTGGGCCCGTGAGCCATGGCCGCTGAGCCTGCGCGTCCGGAGCCTGTGCCGCAACGGGAGAGGCCACAGCGGAGAGAGGCCCCCGGTACCCAAAAAAAAAAAAAAAAGTAAAACTTACGGAATTCCCTGGCGGTCCAGTGGTTAGGACTCTATGTTTTCACTGCTGAGGGCCTAGGTTCAATCCCTGGTTGGGGAACTAAGATCTCACAAGCAATGCGGCACAGCCGAAAAAAATTAAAAACTTAACACGTCAAACTTATGCAGAACTAACATCCCAGCCCAGCTCCAGGAAGCATCCCAGCCTGCCACGATGAACAGCCGTGTCTTGTTTATTCCCTGTCAGTCTTCTGTCCAAGACTACTCAGTGTGTGGCACACGGCCTGACACAGAAGAGGCTTTTCATACATGTCCTTGACATGCTCAGATGAATGAAAATTGGACCACTCAGTGCCTGTTCTTAGAGGACAGGGAAGAATTCCAGACACATCACAGTTGCTTCCTTCAATCCCTGGCCTGGTCAGTGACCTCAGAGTCAAAGGCAGCCAGGAGATTGACTACCAGCCATGCCTAAGACTCGAGATGAACTGGCTGGACTCACACCCAGCTCTGTCACTTAGCGGTGGAAACCTGAGTGAGCCTTGGCCCCTGTGATCCAGTCTACTCACCTGCAAAATGAGAAATATAGATAATAGTATGTACCTTGTATACTGTTGTGGTGATCAAATGAGTTGATAATGAAAACCACGTAGAACAGTGGCTGGTACCCAGGAAGCACTATGGACACCTTAGCTACCATCATCACCGTGGTGGCTGGAATAATGGCGCACCATAGGTGGCCACGTGTGATTCCTAGACCCTGTGAATACGGCACCTGATGTGTCAAAGGGGACTTTGCAGATGTGATTAAGGATCTTGAGATGGACAGATTACCATGGAGTATGTGGAGAACGGAACATACTGAACTCAATGTCATCACAAGGGTTCTGATAGGCGGGGGGGACATCAGAGCGAGGCGTAGGATAATGTGAAGACCCAGCAGACGCGCTCAAGTGACGTCGCTGGTGATAAATTCAGTGGAGCCTGGATTCAGGGAGGGCTTTCTGTGGGGTCTTTTCCCTGGGTAAGGATTACACTGGAGCTGTCACTGCCTGTCTACATTGGTTCTCGTTTCCATTAAGGTGGTTCTCGGATCTTGATATAAAACCTGGATTTTTTCCTCCAGGTTCATCAGCCACCAGGTCTGGATTTTAAGTCCTGCCCCTAAGTCTTTGGGTTCTGTTCTAGCATGGCGGCAGGCGCGATCCCCAGAGAAGAGGCGTCCGCCCCCCTCGCCCCCCCCGTGGCTTTCTAACTGCCCCTCTCCCTGCAGGAAGCCGTGCTCAGCACTTGGCTGCAGTTCAGCGATGGCTCAGTGACGCCCCTGGACATCTACGACACCAAGGACTTCACCCTGACCGCCACGTCCCTGGACGAGGCCGTCGTGTCAGTCCCCCAGCCCCGCTCGCCCAGGTGGCCCGTTGTCATGGCCGAAGGGGAAGGCCAGGGACCCCTGGTCCGAGTGGACCTGACCATCGCGGAGGCTTGCCAGAAATCCAAACGCAAGAGCGTCCTGGCCGTGGGCGTCGGCACTGTCAGGGTCAAGTTCGGCCAGAATGACGCCGACTCCAGCCCCGGCGGGGCCTACGAGGAGGCCGAGATGAAGAACCACGCCAGCGGCCGGCGCCAGAAGGGCCAGGAGGGGCCCTGGTACGGCAGCTCCTCCGCGGAGCGCGACGACGGGGCCCCCCGGAGGGGCAGCCCCACGGCCAAGTCGCTGCTGGACAACAAGGTGGGCAAGAACAGCCGGCTGGACGGGGCCCGGCTGGCGGGCGAGGGCCAGCTGCAGACCATCCCCATCGACTTCGCCAACTTCCCGGCACAGGTGGACCTGCCGCGGGCGGGGGGCGGGCCGGGGGCCGGCGACCTGGTGCAGGCGCCCCGCGGCCTGAGCGACCTGGAGATCGGCATGTACGCCCTGCTGGGGGTCTTCTGCCTGGCCATTCTCGTCTTCCTCATCAACTGCGCCACCTTTGCCCTCAAGTACAGGCACAAGCAGGTGCCCCTGGAAGGCCAGGCCTCCGTGACCCACTCGCACGACTGGGTGTGGCTGGGCAACGAGGCGGAGCTCCTGGAGGACGTGGGCGACGGGTCCCCCCGGCAGGACGAGCACACGACCGTCATAGACGAGAGCGACCGCCTCCTGCTCAACGGAGGTTCCCAAAAGCACGGGCACAGCCAGGTCCCCAGGCCTGCCGACTCCGGGGACAGACAGGGCAAGGACCAGAAGCTCGAGCCCCTGCACTCACCCACCTCCAAGAGGAAAAAGGTGAAGTTCACCACCTTCACCACCATCCCCGCCGACGACAGCTGTCCCACCGTGAACTCCATCCTCCGCGGGACCGACGAGGACATCCAGTGGGTGCGCCAGGACGTGGGCGTGGGCGCCCCCAAAGAGCTCAGAGAACACCTGGAGAAGTTCAAGGACAAAGCCTAGGCCCCTCTGGCCGAAGGGCCAGCGCTTGGACACCCTCCTTCGGTTCCAGAGTAGCTCTGGGGCTGAACAGGGAATCGTTGGGGTCCCCCTTCGAAACCAGTTGGAAATTCTGAAGCCGGAAAGGGACATTTTTTTGTAATCAGAGGTTGATGATGACAGATGTTCGCAAGTAGGCGGAATAAACTCGGGGAAGGGAGCTTCTTGGAGACGTTTGACCTGCGCAGGGCCAAATTGGGAAGGTTATTTTATGAGTCAAAATATAACCCAGACAAGCTACCAAAAAGTATTTGTTAAAAAAAAAAAAAAAGCAAAAAGACAAATAAAAAGACAAGTAATCATCTGTTTATATTTCTAATAAAGGAGCAAAATATATTAAAACTAGGGCCTGCTAAGAGACATTTTCCGTTTTAATTCAGTATTCCTTTCCTATTCCGAGGACAGCCTTGGACTGTCACCCTGGGCTTGGGGAGGAGACGTTTCTGAATATTGGTTGCCTCTTGGGATAGACCTGAGGAGTTTTACATCTCTACTTAATAATCTTTCCTTTTTCCACATTCTCTTTTTTCCCCTCCTTTTTTCTTTTTGTGTCTTAGACTTCCACTTGATTTATATTTAATGTCTATTCCTGAGAATCCAATGGTATATTTTCCTAAATTAAACAAATTATATTCCTAAACATCAGATGAATGCTTAGAAACGATGTCAGTTAATCCACTCTTTAAGTATTACGTTTGATGCTTTTCTGTATCCCTCCAGCCTTGTTGATATTTGCTGGGTTTTCTACAATCAGGGGGAGTTCTCAGAGCCTTTGGGGGGATGGGGGAAGATGCCTTCACCCATCCCCACTACGCCCACCACAGGGCCAAAGCCAGTGGGTAGGACACTGGCAGAGGCTGGACCCGTGGGACACAGCCAATAGCACAGAGCCCAGCCAGGTTCCCCTGACCCCTCCAGGACTCCATCACTGGTGTCGTGCGGATGCTTCTCCCAGGGGAAGAGGAGGTCCGATCCACAGGAGAGAAACCAGACCCAAGAGTAACGAGCACGAGCCGCACAGGGTAGATCTATCCCGAGACATGCTGCTATTACCAAATGAACAAGGATAAAAAAAACTGAGGGTTTTTCCGTTGTTTTTCTTACTTCGTTAGGCGGGGTATACCAGCATAAACGGAAAGCACGAAAATCTACGTTAGATTGTCAACCAGCTGTGCTTTTTGGTACCAGCCTAGTCGTGTAGCAGCCCATTGCAAAATGCACTCATCCAAAGTGAAGTGTACGAGGCAGAGGAGACCACGAGGTAGGGGCACAAACCCCAATACTCCGTTCTGTCCGCAGCTGCTGGGGACGAAGCCGCCCGGCTGTCACGTGATGCTCTCCGTGGGGCGGCGCCCGCAGATACCGGGAGGAATGCTTCCTGTGTTTATTTTTTTAATTACTAAAATCGATAGCTAAGAAAGGGTCCTCGAAGCCTCAATAACCTTAGCTGGACCTTTTAAAAAGATATTTCTAGCACATATTAGAGACGGGAAAAGGAGCTATTTATTTATACCTGTGATGCCAATTGTCATTAAAACATTTTCCATGGCTTGACAAGTCAGTATCTTGTGGGCTGTCTCTTATTTCACTGAACTCCTATTATTTCTTCTCCCCGCCAAATGTACGACTTGTTAAAGAAATAAACCGTCTGCTGGTCTAGAAGGAAAACTATACACTGTCGGCTTGTTTGCCTCTTGGTTTCTGGGCTGATCCACAGTCATTCCTAACAAGGGAAACTTCCGGTCACCCATCCACTGTCATCTCCATCAGCAGTTCTCAGATGTGAGCATGCTCGGGGTCACCAGGAGAAAATGAGCGTCCTGACGTGTTCCAGGGTGATGCAGATGCTGTTTCCCCCCCTCCCCCCAGTGAACGTCCAATTCACATCGAAGGAGGAGGAGAGCCTGGACATTGAATGGAAAACTGTGTTGATCTCTCGTCTGGGGTAAAGGTGTACTTTTATTCTGATTATTTTTGCATTTGTTGTTGTTTGAAGTTCCAGTGGGATTGTGGTTCCTTTGGCTGGTTGAGGGAAGAGAATTTTGGGGTTGAAGACAAGAGAGTGATGTTTTTAAATAAGTTTTATTTTTTTAATTTAAAAAATTATATAATTTTTTAACAACTTCATTGAAATATAATTGCTTTACATTGTTGTGTTAGTTGATGCTGTATAACAAAGTGAATCAGCTATACATATACATATATCCCCGTATCTCCTCCCTCTTGCGTCTCCCTCCCACCCTCCCTATCCCACCCCTCTAGGTGGTCACGAAGCACCCAAGCTGCTCTCCCTGTGCTATGTGGCTGCTTCCCACTAGCTATCTGTTTTACATTTGGTAGTGAATATATGTCCATGCCACTCTCTCACTTCGTCCCAGCTTACCCTTCCCCCTCCCCGTGTCCTCAAGTCCGTTCTCTACATTTGAGTCTTTATTCCTGTCCTGCCCCTGGGTTCTTCAGAACTTTTTTTTTTTAGATTCCATATATATGTGTTAGCATACGGTATTTGTTTTTCTCTTTCTTACTTCACTCTGTATGACAGACTCTAGGTCCATCCACCTCACTACAAATAACTCAGTTTTGTTCCTTTTTATGGCTAATATTCCATTGTATACATGTGCCACATCTTCTTTATCCATTCATCTGTCAATGGACACTTAGGTTGCTTCCATGTCCTGGCTATTGTAAATAGAGCTGCAGTGAACATTGTGGTACATGACTCTTTTTGAATTATGGTTTTCTCAGGGTATATGCCCAGTAGTGGGACTGCTGGGTTGTATGGTAGTTCTATTTTTAGTTTTTTGAGAAACCTGCCTACTAATAACAGCCTTATTGAGACATAGTTCACGTAACATAAAATGGACCCATTTAGAGTGTACAATTCAATGGTTGACAGTGGTGCATCACATCAATTTTAGAAAATTTTCATCATCCCAAGAAGAAACTCCATACTCATCAGATTTGCTCCCCATTTCCCCACCCCCTCACCAGATTCCCAGCCCCAGGCAACCACTGATCTACTCTCTGTCTGCATGGATTTGCCTGGGGGTGGTGTGGGGCTAGTATCTGTATCATTATGGGAGAGTCTGTGAGAAGCCGATGGGGTTCATATATTGTCACTGTTTTTTTGGGTTTTGGTTCTGGCCGCGACGCATGACCTTGTGGGATCCCAGTTCCCCAACCAGGGATTGAATCCGGACCCTCAGCAGTGAAAGCACGGAGTCCTAACTACTGGACCGCCAGGCAAGTCCCTGTGAGTGTTTCTTGTTTGTTTTTGTTTTCGTTTTGCGGTGCGCGGGCCTCTCACTGTTGTGGCCTCTTGCGGAGCGCAGGCTCAGCGGCACGCGGAATCCTCCCGGACCGGGGCACGAACCCGCGTCCCCTGCATCGGCAGGCGGACGCTCAACCACTGCGCCACCAGGGAAGCCCCCTGTGATTGTTTCTTAATCGAGGCACCAGGGGAGCTCTGTTCTCCCACAGCATGGCTGCACGTGTGTCGTAAAACAGCCTGCAGTACCTTCTTTTCTGTAGAAACCACATCCACGCCTAAAGCAAGCTCCCTGCCTAGCCAGCTCAGGTATTGCTTTAAAAGAATCAGGCTTCAGATCAAGAGAAAGAGGACTGTGGTTGAATCTAATGCTGGTTGCTTCACTTCTGCCCCAAGTTCAACTCTAAAAAACGCCAGCTGGCGTTGGGCAGATACCTCCGCGGTCCACTGGGGTCAACCGAGCTACCCTGGTTCTGAGAGCCTGAGACAATGAGGCTGTTTGACAACCGCCTCCCTCAGGGAGCACATGCCATGGTGTCGGCAGAGCTAAGAGGCCGTGTTGGGGGGACCAGTGGGTCCCATTTCCCCTGGGACTGTCCTGCTTTTAAAACTGGAATCCTCTCAGGAGAAACAGGCTGCTTGGCCACCTGGTAGACATAAGTGACTCCAACTATCATTAAAAACTTTCCGTTGGTCACGTCAGGCGATCAGGGCCTCATGGTGTCAAAATGTCTCTTTTATTGTAAATGTAAGACTCAAATACGACCTCGCCTAGGGAGGGACACAGCTCCAGTATTGCCAGACCCTGAAAAAAATCGGGAGGTTCCTCAAGGACGTCTGCTCTCCTTCCTGTGTCAGCGCTGCCCTTCCCGTCAAGCCCACCTACCCTTGGGATGTGAACGTGGGACCCCACGGAATGAGTCTGTAGGTGTCTGACCTCTGACTCCCTAGGATGGGTGTCAGCTCCATGCTGCAAATAAGGTCCCAAGGGAGCTGAGTGTGCACCGTTTTAAATAAGGTGCTGCCTTTTTACGGTGATGTGAGCCTCTCAGACTGCCAGGTGGACAAAACAATCTTTCCAGATAGACAGTCTGCAGTTCTTCCTTCCTGCTAAAATGATCAAGTAGAACAAGGGTAGCTTGGCTGTTGGATGCTGGTCCCCTGATTCATGTCACATGCACTTATTGAGCACCTGCTGTGTGCCTGGTTTGGGGAACACACAAAGAATGGAGTAATTAACAAGTCCTCAAGGTGCGGCCAGTCAGAGGGTGGAAACAGAGAAGGGGGCAGTTAGTTAAGCACAGGACGGCAGGGGGATCGGGGGGGAGGGCAGTGCCTTCACCCCCCGTTGCCCTATGTTCCCACCAGCTCGTCCACGCTCACCTGTAGACTCCAGCCAGACCGATGGCCTCTCAGAACACAAGGCTCTGAAGAAACAAACTGTCCTTTCTCGTAAGTGAGTAGATCTTGACTAATATTACAGTTGACCCTGCACAACGCGGGGGTTAGGGCCCCGACCCTCCCTGCACTGGAAAGTCCAAGTAGACCTTCCAGTCCACCCTTCTTATCCGTGATTCCCAATCAGTGGATTCAACCAACCCTGGATCTTGCAAGACTGTAGTATTTACCTTGAAAAAAATCCACGTATAAGTGGACCCTTGCAGTTCAAACACATGTTGTTGAAGGGTCAACTGTAATATTTATTAGCATTAATCTTTATTGTGATCAACAATAGTGTATTAACATTATTTGAATAATATTAACAATAACTACGAGAATAGTAATAATGAGACTCCATTTAACAAGTCTGGGTCAGACTGAGTATTAAACATCCTTAGTGTGTGTTGTTATTCACTCACAACAACCGTCTGAGGCATGTGTGTTTCCCCCCATATCAGAGGTGAGGAAACAGGCTCAGAGCATCCTTCTCAAGGTCAAGACTAGGAACTAGCTGAGCCACACTCAAAGCCGTGACCGTATCTCCAAAAACTGTGGTCTTGATTATTACACTAATACAAGCTTCACATATATTTTCTTGTGTTAAAAATGTAATCAAACTGACCGAAAAAAAGCAATTCAGGCTCATGACACAAAATCTAGAAAAGTAGAAGAAATAAAGAAAAAAAATGCCTCTGGTTCCTCCTCCCAGAACTAAAAATTAATAACTCATCTTACACACGCTTCAGTTTTTTTTCAAATGGTGGACATAATTTTGCACGGTCCTATTCATATTTTGAAAGTATACTGTTATAAACGTGACTTTTACATTATTTTTCCACTTTTAAAAGTAGCCCAAGAGCATTGTAAACAGTTTATAAAAATGACCGAATTCACCCCCGTTGGAGCTTTGGTGACGTCCTTCTAGGTTTTTGCCCTCCGATGTCTTTTTTTCTTCCGTGGTTGAGATCAAAGTGCAAAAATTGCTTTTTAAGTATAATTAACAGGGAAAGTTACGCAGCCTTCAATCGGAGGTGATAGGGCTCCCATGTGCATGGGACAGACGGTGGGCTGCATGAGGGGACCCCTCGGGGCAGGGGGAAACTGGGCACTAAAATCCAGCCCAATCTTTGCTTGTCAATATACCTGCACCTGGAGGAGAAGCTTACGGCTCTCCTTTGAACAAGAATACCATCTGCTTGCCAAGCGGGCAGCCTGGGCTGCACTTTCCAAGTGGAGGCTACAGTTTACATCTTGCCCTTAACGGCAAATGGAGCCCTGGAAGATGAGGTGAAAGGAATCAAGGTGATGGCCAGCCTGCTTCAATGAGTAGCCTGCCTTCTATGACGGTGATGAAGGAGTCGCTCATCCAGACGAACTGTTCCATGGCTAATAATGACACAAGCGGCCTAAAGGCCACAGAACAGCTGTTTCAAGGCACTGGAGAGCACCTGCAGTTGAGACAGGCTGGGACCTGGGAGCCGGGGCCTTTTGCTGCAGGACTTGCACCTGGACACACGTCTCCTCCAGTAACAGATACAAAGAAACTATAAGGGACTAAAGATAACCGTGCATGAGCAGTTGGGGCAAATTATGGACAACAAGATACAAAAAGACCCCCCCAAAAAAATCCAACTGCCACTTCTGAAGAGCCAGGAGCAAAAGCGGCGGGGTTGGGAGCCAACGCAGGGCCGCGCATGCCCCCTGCACTCAACACCACCAAAGCGGGGACAGACCACCTGAGCCACGCCTCCAGCCCGACCCCTGGACACACCCCTCCCCTCACCCCATATAATGAGCCAGCTGCCCCCCACCCTCGGGGAGTGAGCGAGCAAGGGAAGCTGTTACTTGTTCCCGCTCCCCCTGCTGCAGCAGGGGCCCCAGTAAAGCCTGGCCTGAATTTCTTGTCTGGCCTCTGATCAATTTCTATTGATTAAGGAGGCCAAGAACCCTGGTCGGTACCACGGTGATGGAGACCGGAGGGCAAAGATCCCGGGAGCGGGGACGGGCACAGAGGTGAGCCCCACATTGGCCACCAAGCTCTCTCCTTGGGGTGTTGTCCACGCACACTGTATTGCTCAGAGGCTGAACCAAACGTGACAGCCCAGAGCTTGTAATAGGCTGACCGGGCTGGATGGACAAATACTCTGTCCAGGACACCGGAGGCAACAGGGAACTGAGGGTCTGAAATTCCTGAAATAAGAGATTTGCAGGGAAGTGAGTCCAGTAAACAATTTCCTCTTCAGGAAATTTCCAGGTTCTCAACTGGACGGGAAGCTAAGAAAGCGAGACAGGGAGGTGTTAAAGGCTAAGCTGT